CGGCCACACAGCCCGGAAGCCCCACACCAGCCAATCCTGTATTTGTGTTGTCGAAGGCTTTCACGGCCAGCATACGATGGCTGGTGTGGGTCTTCCGGGCTGTGTGGCCGTGTTCTAGAAGGTTTGTTTCCTAACATTTCGCCAGCATCTGTGACTGGCATCTTCAGAGGGCAGGAGCACAGACAGGAGCAGTTCTCTCTGTGCCCAGAGAGACTGCTCCTGTCTTTGCTCCTGCACTCTGAAGTTGCCGGTCACAGATGCTGGCGAAACGTTAGGAAACAAAACTTCTAGAACACGGCCACACAGCCCGGAAGACCCACACCAGCCATCGTATGCTGGCCGTGAAAGCCTTCGACAACACAAATACAGGATTATTATGGAACACTAGTTTCATCTGTTTATGAAGCAGAGAAGAGAAAATACAGGTAGGTTTTCTGAAGGAGATGAGAAGTCAGAAATAATGGAAATGTGCATTTCATCAGTGCTGATTTGTATACAACATTGTGCAATTGATTGTGTACTGCAAGAGGTAGGGGAGAATCAGCCTCTGGAAGCGCTCAATGTACATTTAAGAGAATGTCACACTATTTTTGTTTTCTTCTTACATTATGCCTGCCTTTTCACAATTCATTGAAGAAGGCAAAGCGCTTATTATTGTGTGAAAACAAGATTTTTAATATAGGTCTTGAAGGTGAAAACAAGATTTTTAATATAGGTCTTGAAGGTATCAGTCACCCTTCAGTGGTTTGGTGATAGCAAAGGCACCAGAGTGTTATTCTCTGTGAGGCATCAAATCATGATAGAAACCAGTCAGTGGAAAAATATTAGTTTTGTCTTTGGGCTGCAAAACAAAATGGCTGAAGAACGGAAGATGTATTGGACGATTGCAGAAGAAACACTACTGGAAGTATTAGCATTTCATCTGAGTATTTTGGGATTATTTGGCAATATTTATTCTGGGAAGTAGTAGTATCCTATCCTATATAATATAATGTCATTTCAAGATCATTTACATATATGTTTGTGACAGAAAAAATACTACCTGCAGAATGCAGTTATTTGAGAATATTATTGAATCAAAATACAGAAAATTTGCAAGTAAAAGCCATTGAAATGAAATCTGGGCAGAAGAAGGTAGCAGCTAATATGATAGAAGGCAACCTACATTACTTATCCTAACCCTGATCCAGGTATCTGGTGACATAGAGCCAGGGAAAAAAATGTAAAATGTGGGATGTTAGGATCATGCATTCCTTGTTTTATTCTTAGATAGGCAGATCGTCAGAAACTGACAAAAAAGTTGTGAAAAATCTAATTGTGCAGATTTTCAAGGTATAGAAAATATTATTTACCTATATAAATCTATCTCAGGAAAATACACATTAAGAAATGTGTCTGCACAAGAATATTTTATGATTTGGGGGAAAAGATGTTATCTCAAGAAGAACTAAAGAGCCTCTTGATGAGGGTGAAAGAGGAGAGTGCAAAAGCTGGCTTGAA